CACAGGAAGTGCATCGATGCACCCATTAAAATGGAAACATCGAATGTGATTTATGCATCGATGCATAGATAATGCATCGATGCACCCATCTAGGGATGCATCGATACATGGGTTAGTGCATCGATGCATGCCTCTATTAAAAGTTGAAAATAACTTTCTTTTTATCCTTTGGAGTGATAGTTTAGAATATATCAATTGGATACTGATATGTATTAATGCATGATTATGTAGATATCGAACATGAACAAGTTCTGGAACGATTATCAAGTTAAGATTCGATCGAAAGAAAAGAAATCATAAAAGTGGATCGAACTTAGTGAGGCCAAGGTGAGTGCATAGTAGTTAGTTTATGGTGCTAAATGGAAACAAGACTTGTGATAAGTCTATTTCCTATGTTAGAATGCATGAATATATGATTATAAGTATATGAATGACATGAATTGTATGTATGCTGGATTATATGTGTTAACATGTTTTTGATTGTGAGGATATGAGAAGTATGTGCTATGTGATGTATATATATGAACATATGAGAAATTGAACTATATGACTGCATGAGAAAGATATGAGCCATATGACATGTTATATGTGAACCTGAGAAAACAAAGTATAAGATATGAGCTATGTAATCTTATGAGAACATGAAAAGAAGCTATATGATTACATGTATATGTGAAAGAAACTATGAGCTTATATGACATGTGAAATGATAAAGTGAAAATGCCCATGTTATATGATACGAGAGCTATAGGTATAGTTGGCATGCCAAGAGTCGAAGGTATACGCGGTCCTTCGGGACATACAGTGATCCTTCGGGATATTTTATAGGTCCTTCGGGACAAAATTTCATAGCCCCTAGTGGGACCCCTACGAGCTGTGGTGACAACATAGTGCACAACCTCAATAGACTCACATATCTACAGTTCTCACAGGTGCACATGAGCTAATAAGAGATAACATTGAATGTAATGTATGTGATGTATATATGTTTTTTGTGATATGAATTATATGATATGATATATGTGTGTTAGTGATTATTGTATATGCTATAAGATATATGATATGAGCTTAATTGATCATATAAACAAGAGAATAGAAATATGAAAGGTGATAATATAATAATGATAGGAAAGAAGATAATTATATGTATGCATGGATATATATATATATATATATATATATATGAAAGGTGCATAGTATGAATTATTATATGTATATGTGGGTGTGATGCTTGTATGTGATATGTTAGTAGAAATTGTTCAAGCATGATTACGAGTTAGAGTTTTATTATATGTTTTATGCGTCACTAAGTCAACGACTTAGCGTGTGATTGTTTCACACGTAGGTTACAGAAGTGAGAAGAGTAAAGAGCTAAGAGGAGCAAGACAGGTCAGCATTTTCCTTACAAAGTTTCATATCAGAAAATAGATGATTTAAATGTGTTTGGTTAATCTGAATATAGTTGGCATGTACTAATTGAGTGAGTTGTATAGGCTCTGATCGATTTTTGGTTATTTTGGTCAATTTATGTAAATAAACAACTTTTATTTTAATGAAAGTTTTAAATTTTCTTTGAATTTTGTCAAGAGTCAAAGTTTGAAAAGTCAATGTGACACCTCAGACTCGTATTCGGGTCGGATACGGGTTGAGGGTGTTACATTAACTCTTTTTCAGAAATTCACTTTGAAACCCATTCTCTTTAATCTTTCATAACTTCTTCATCTTTTGATTATAAGACAAATTAAGCTTTCCTTAAGCTTAAATATCACCTAAGGATCATAACCCAACCTTTAATTCAACAAATAATCAACTAATTAAGAAACTTACATTTGTTTGTATGCTTCACGGTGGAGAAGAAAAGAAGATGAAGAAGATAATTGTCTGGAACTTGTTTCCCAAAACATATGCTCCACATGGGTATTATAATACCCAATAATTATTATTTAATTATTTCCTTGTTCAATGACACATCTACCCCTTGACTCTTTCTTCATTTACTAAACTATCATATATAAAATATTTCAATTAATGCCTTCACTCTTCAATTTATTTAATATGTTCATTGAATTTTTAAAATCTTACACTTTAATCACTAACCCGGTATTGAGGATGTTATATGTCAAATCGGTCCTTACTATTCACTTTAATCCCTAACAACCATCACACTCAACTAATTTCACTATATTTCCAAATTAGTACATTAATCTTACACGTTTTCAATTTCACCACTAACTTTCCAAGAACTTGCAATTTAATCCCTAAGAATTATTCAACTTCCAAATCAACCCAATTCAACATTTCATCATTCCAACTATAATTTCCAGCATAGTAACTTAATTTTTCAACATTTATTTTACATTCCTCCAATTTATCAAAACTTGCAAAAAGATCCTTTAAGCTTAACATTGATCCAAATTGATCCAAAACTTAATTCAAACCTTATGAAATCATCATTCTATCTAATTTAAACCTTTATACAAATTTTCCTAATTCTTTTCTCCATGGCCGAAAGTTTTGGATACTTTCCTTAATGGTCCCCAACTTTGATTTAAGCTTGGTTTCATCACCTACAACCCATTTCCATTCATTCTAATCATTCCCATAACAAAAGCAAATCAAAATCAACATTTCTTAATTCAAACCCACCATGACCGAATGCTTTCAACTTAGTCCCTTAATGAATTTTAATCAACTTTTATACTTCCATAACATTCCTTAAATCAAAATCCAATCTTATTTAATTGATTTCTCACTTCCCCTTCATCCACCATAAGAACTCATTTTCACATTTCAACATGAAAAAGTCAATACTTATACCAATTTGTAGAGAATTTCGTGAGAAACAATTTCCTATTTCACACTTAAGTCCTAATTCTAATTAAAATGACTCAAAAATTGAAAACAAAGCTTTGATTACCTTAGCTATGGAGGACGTCCAGCAGCTGGAGAAGAAGAGAGTTTTCGCGAGTTCTCCTTGCAAATATCTCTAATTTGGGCTTTTTAGATTGATTAAAAATTCATTTTGACCCAAATGTCAAAATGCCGTTAATGAATTATCTTGTTTACCCCCATTCCATCATTTTATCTCCCATTTAATAATCTTAAATAACTATAAAAATCTTATCTATCAATTTCCCTCTTTTCCCTTTTAATTTTTCAAAAATCCAATTTAGTCACTACGTTCCATTATTTCACTAAAACAAGGTAAATTCTTTTAATTTGACTGATCCACTTTGAATTCTTCACATTAAAAATACTAAAACAACATTTTTAACCTCATATTACTATCCTTCAAATTTTTGTAATTTTTTTATTCTATCCGGATATCCGATGATTTTATCGAACTTTACCGATTAATAGTATTTTCTACAAATTTCGGATCGAAAATATGACAGACATAAAAATCATTCTTTTAAGGTAAACTGTCCATTTATGGGATCAATAACTTTTTCAAAATTACACTTTAGGTTTCTGAACTTTTCTAATTTTAAACTTTAACTACCAGCTTTCAAAATTTACATTTTAGTCACTTGTTGAAATTTTTGGGGTATTACAGGCTATGCTGACAAAAATTTTACTATCCAATGTCTTTCACTAGCACATTGCTCATATGTGTTAAATCACTTGAGAATATCATTATTTGAGTTTTAGTTTGTAATTTATTTTTTTCTGTTTGTTTTTAGACATTTATGTATTTAATTATTTTTTGATAAAAAATAAAGTATTTAATCATTAACTCTTTTATTATTCAGAGAATATCAGTTGAAAATAAATATGTTAAGTTGATATTACATATAATTTTCATGCTACGTATTCATGATCGATCGATGTCATTTGACTATGTTTGTATATATGATCACTGATGAGTCTAGTTATGATTGATATGTATGTCGAAAACTTTTTTGATCCTATATGGATATAATTAGTGGATAAAATTGTTATAGAATATCTATTAAATACTAGCAAAGTTTAATCTTATAAGGTTGTACATTGTTCAAGAAACATATGTTTCTCAAGTGAGAGTTTGTTGTATTAAAATCTATAATTATGAGTACATATGTATAATATATGATGTCATTATAGAGTATAATACTAAGATTAAGTGGCCAATTATGTTATAGTTGTTATATGTATTAAAGTGCCATGAAAATAAAAATGTAGATACCATAAGTTTTACTGAAGGAAAAAATTATAAATTCTCACAAACTGATTTAATATTCAATTTTATATAACGGTGTCGTGATCCCCAAAAAATAGATTAATTTGTATTACCCTTCTTCCTTCATAAAGTTTTTACGGAAAGAGTAAATCTATCTTTTTGGAAGATCAAAACCATCTTCTTAGTGCTCGTAAATGAATTCAGGTACGCTTTCGCGAATCTACTATCTTGTTCTTAATGATTTTGTATGATAAAACATGGTTAGATTTATATATATATAATTTTTAAAAATATATATTTAATAAAATTTAATTTTTTCAACTTTTTTGTCAATTTTTTGTCAATGCATTCAGGTATGCTTTCGCGAATATATTATATTGTTCTTAATGATTTTAGAAACCTTTAATCGAATAATTTTGAAATATATATTTAATAGAATTTAATTTTTAAAATATTTAAAATAATCATGATCACAATTTTAAGATTTTAACTTTTAAAAAATAAGGGAAATTTATAGTGATACATAGTATGATTTGATTCTAATATAGACATGTCCTTCAAAGTCATATTCTTTCTTTATAAATATATTCAAGATGATATGAACATAAGACATAAGGAATACCAAATTGATTAAAGAAAAAAGTTATGCGTTGTACTTATTGAGTTTGGAAGTGTAATATTTAAGAATTTTCATTTCCAAATTGGATCAAAAAGAAGAAATACCAAATTTATTAAAAAAAAAATGTCAAATTTGTATAATAAATGTGTGGTCTTTTATTATCGGACGTTTAGAGTTCAAAGTAAACCCTAGTAGCATATCCGCATTTGAGCATACCCAAGGAGAAGCACGGTTTCGGACATCACGAGGTGCAGAGCAAAATATATACAAGCAAATATCGACATAAAAATATTTCCTATTTCTGATCCAATAATTTCCTTTCCATTTTTCTTCCCGGTTTCTCTCGTACATAAAATTCTGCTTCTGGGTTTGGGTCAAATCCCAAACGAAGATGGAACTTGACATGGAAACTATGGCTGCATCGATCGGCTTATCGGTTCCAGTGATTCGGTTCCTTTTATGCTTCGTGATGACTATACCGGTCAGTTTTCTAGGGCGACTTGTTCCGACTGGATTAGCTAAACACGTGTACTCGGCCATTACAGGAGCGTTGCTTTCCTATCTGTCATTTGGGTTTTCTTCGAATCTGCATTTTTTGGTGCCCATGTTGTCGGGTTATGCTGCAATGGTTCTTTATCGGCCCAAGTGTGGAATTATCACTTTTTTCTTCGGTTTTGGTTATTTGATTGGCTGGTAAGTCTTTCCATTGCATTTTTTTTGAGAAATTCTTTTGGGGAAAGTTCTATCAGTAGAATGTTATATATTCTCCCCTGTTTCTATTCTTGGTGTTGAAAATGATAAGTATTTTGTTTTATGCTACAAGGTTTTGTAATTCTTGAATTTGAATTATTTCTATTTTGTTTAGCTTTTTTTAATTACAAAAAAAGAACTAATGTTCATGTCTGCTGGGTTTTCATGCCAAATTGATTTACACTAAGCTGATGTTAGATTAACGTTCGTTTGAAATTCTTTTTAATGCATGCGCTATACTCACAACTCAGTATCTCAAATTAGTACTTTTTATTTTAGAATCTTGACTATTCCATTTTTTTATTTGTTTGTAGCCATGTATATTACATGAGCGGGGATGCATGGAAGCAAGGAGGCATTGATGCCACTGGTATGCATGTGTTGAGTTTCTCCTTTAAACATGAGTTGTTGTTCTTTAGTATCCGACTACTATGTTTAAACTTCAATAAAATTGTAAAGCATCTATGCTTTAGTGAAATGGGCAAATTAGGTTGATCTTCATATTACTGCTTTGAGCTTCGATGAACTTCAACCCTTAGTTTATTGTAATTTTTTTATTTTAATACCAAGTTGGGATAGCTCCTAAGGGTAAAGTAAGAAAAAACTGTTTACATATGCTCGAGGGATGACGTATGTAGACTTTATCCATGATAAAAAAAAGGTTAAAGGGGAGATCAGAATGGAACTGGTTGGAGGTGATGACAGATTTTATGAATCTATTAGATTTTTTTTGAAAGAAGAATCTATTAGATTTTGAAGAGAGGATGGATTGGTGACTAATTAGAGTAAGAGGATTCATGTACCTGATGTAATGTTTCTACAATTTCTTCGTGTAGCCGACACCAAATATATTGTTGTTATGGCTTTTTGGTTTTGTTTAGTGGACAGTAATAGCAAATCTATTTCTACTTAGACATTTAATTCACCACGTTGTAAATTTATCTATTTATATTTATTATTCTGGCTTCTTATGGTTTTTTCACGAGTTTTCAAGGGAGTGCTTTTCTGGTACTCTATACATGTTAGTTAATTGCGTGGCACTATCTTTTGATATTTAGGTGCATTGATGGTCTTGACATTAAAGGTCATTTCATGTGCAATGAATTACAATGATGGGATGTTGAAAGGGGAAGATTTACGCGAGACTCAGAAAAAACATAGGTTGATTAGGCTACCTTCATTGATTGAATATTTTGGGTACTGCCTGTGCTGTGGCAGTCACTTTGCTGGTCCAGTTTATGAGATGAAGGATTACCTTGACTGGGCTGAAGGGAAGGGGGTAAGTTTATTATGTTTGTTTGTGCTTCTGCATGCCTTTTATAATCTGCAGTTATCAGGATGCAGCTTTTGATTATCATTTTTTTTTCTTCAAGATTTGGGCTCATTCCGAAAAAGGACCATCACCATCACCATATGTAGCAACACTACGCGCGCTTGTCCAAGCTGCTTTTTGCATGGCAATGTATTTTAACCTTGCACCATATCACCCGTTGTCTTGGTTTACTGATCCTGCATACCACGAATGGGGATTCTGGAGGAAACTGAGTTACCAGTATATGTCTGGCTTTACAATGCGGTGGAAATATTATTTCATCTGGTCAATTTCAGAGGCTGCTATTATCATATCTGGCCTGGGTTTCAGTGGATGGACAGAATCTTCACCCCCAAAACCAAAGTGGGATCGAGCAAAGGTTGTTGATATCCTAGGATTTGAGTTAGCAAAAAGTTCAGTGCTGTTACCACTTGTTTGGAACATACAAGTCAGCACCTGGCTTCGTCATTGTGAGTCTTTCTAATTCTAGCTACTAGTCATTTATGTGCTTTGTTGATTAGTTTTGCTTAAATATTATGTGGCTGTATATCATACATGTAAAGTTGTAAACATCTGCTATTCAAATGTAAGATATTTTTTGTAATGAGTCAAAACATGCAAGTAAAAGATAAATTGGTTGATTAAATGTGTTTATATGTTTGATTACAATATTATACGGTCTCGTGTCTTTTAAAATGACAACAGTTATTTTAGTTTTGTTAGCCTGGACCACTTTTAGGATATTTGGGGCAATTGAAGCAAATACAAGCGGAAGTCATAAGATATCCTAAATGAGAAGTTAAGATAGTACTCTGTTGGTGCAGATGTTTATGAGAGACTTGTTAAGAAGGGAAAGAGGCCTGGTTTTTTCCAGTTGCTGGCCACACAGACTGTCAGTGCTGTTTGGCATGTGAGTCATTTTGCTATGCTACTGAAATTTTTTAACGATGTTCTCAATATTTGTCTTTTTAATTTTGTAGCAAATTCTATAAAAATATGATTAATAGAATTCATCCAAAAATTTTCTGGCACTTAACCTTCTTTTGTTCTTGCATTTCTCTCCTTTGTTATAGGGTCTGTATCCCGGGTACATCATATTCTTTGTTCAGTCAGCTTTGATGATTGCCGGTTCAAGAGGTATTGATATGTGCATCCTTTTTGTATTTCAGATCATTGTACTATTACATTTGTTTGTTCCCATCTCCCATTTTCTTTCTGAGCAGTTCTCTACCAATGGGAAAAAGCTATACCTTCAAATATGGGTCTTGTGAAGAAAGCATTTGCCTTGATGAATTTTGTTTACACACTTTTGGTTCTGAACTATTCCTGTGTTGGCTTTATGGTATCCCTCTCTTTTCTCTCTCTAGCTATGCTTTTAAACCTTTAATTATTTGAAATTGTATAATCTTTGGGTGATGATATGCACATTCATCGGCTGGCCATCACACGCGGTGGTGCGGGATGATCTAGACAATGTTTTCATATATCTTTTTAACATGCTTCTCTTCTTGCGTGATACAGGTATTAAGCAAGCACGAGACACTTGCATCGTATGGGAGTGTGTATTATATTGGAACCATCCTTCCGATAGCGTTCATCATGTTGGGCTACATAATTCCTGTAAAGCCTGCCAGATCTAAAGATCGTAAAGAGCAGTGAGTACCGAGTAAAGCTAAAGCCACATTTCTTCGGATGGAGTTAGATTACCACTGCAAGTTTCAGGCATCGTTTCATGTTATTGAATGGTAGGTTTTGCATAAGGATTATGAAAAATAAAAGAAAAAAAAAACTATTTCCGAATCTTTTATTTTTCAACATTTATCGTCATTTATCAAACAAAACATCTCTGGCAATTCCTTTCAGCTGAGTCCCGTCAACTTCAACCATGAATCACCTCAATTGGATTTGGCTGCATTTAATTGTAATTTTTTTGTTCTTACCTAGTAGTTTGTTTGTTGTTCTTAATTTAACCCAACTTCATCTGAGAAAACGTTCATGAGTAGATATATTCCCTCTCCTTGGATGCATTCGTTTTCCGATGGATCCAAAATACATATTTCATTGATCCACCTAGATGATCATGTTTCTGATTTCCTGTGTACAAGAGAGAAGAAAAAGGCCAAGAAAACTCAATATTTCATAGGAGAGCAAAAAGGGGCGGGGGAGCAACAACAAAAAACTTATCTAATCGCATCTTGTACATTATCAAGCATCCTGCTGTAAAAGTTATTCCTCGGCCAAAGCACAAACTTCTCCCAAGAACAATAATAATAAAAAAAAACCTCTTTAACAGCCTCGATTATATTCTTACGATAGTGATTTTGAGCCAAAGAACAAGCGAAGGTTAGGAAGAAAACAAACCCAGTTAAATGCAATCAAAGCATTGTGACAAGTATCTTTTATAAAACGAGACAGCTTAATATTTTGTATCTTCTATTCAAATTTTCAAAATATTGATGGTAAGGGACTATAGTCTGCATTAAAAAGGTCGTTCCTAGTTTACTGAAAAAGTAAGCCATTTGGGTTGAGAAACTCAGCATCATGATGATAGAAATAAGGGACACGTTTTATAATTGTGAAAAAAAACTAGTGTCTCCAGTGATTCAAGGCTCAAAGAGTAATGCATAAGGCCTCTTTATAACTTTATACTGTTGCTAAAATAAGTAGAGTAATTTGTATGTCACTTTGCAGCACTAATATTTTTGGTAAACTACACAAGTCTTGTAGCACAAAATTTCCTCCCATAATGCTTGTTCCAAATATATGTTTACAAGAAGCACAATAAAGCACTAAAGGAAAGACATGTATGCACAAGATAACATTTATTTCTTCAGCAATTCAGTAAGAATTAAGAGTACCAAAAGTAGATAACAGAATTCAAGTTGAGATAGAAGGATAAGGCTTTGAGATTGATAAGACAGATTTTAGAGCTCCAAAACAATTATGAAAAGCAATTACATTAGGATATGCATATCTCTAGAACAGGTCAACATAATTTAATAAAATTTATCAGCTTTCGTGCTAGAGATTTGGTTTAGACAAAGTTATGTCCTGTAGAGAAGGAAGGAAATAGACTGAGGCAATTAAGCTTGGGAGAACAAATGAACAGAAAATTTTACCTTGAATCTTCCAAAATGAGAGGAATTCGTTTATGATTTCAATGCTAATTTGTTATAACCATTGGACTGAACTCATGTAGTTGTCAATTGCATCAGCAGGACTAGCTGATTACTTCAATAACAAGTTTGGAATTTAGTGATACACTTCCGGTTAAAAGGCTTAGTGTCCTCTTCTCTCCATCGTTTTCATTCTTGGAGAAAATGAGTGTTCAATATGCCTCCAGAATTTTTCGCTTGATTCTGGTGTTGCATTTTAGAAGTAATGCTGCATATACCACTTATCCAGTTAATCAACCACATGGACACTACACCGCTTTCATGTAGAAATAAAAATTGTGGGTCATCGCATATTCTAAAAAGGGGATTATAATTTCAGTGGACCTGCAACTTTTATGGTGCTCATTTGAATTGATATTTGAATGAAAGTTGATTTTGTAAATTCAGCAACATTGTGACTTTTATGTGTCCGTATTGTGGATGGGATACTAATTTCTGTTTTAAAATGGACAAATAGATGTTGGTGAGGACAAACATTATCTGGCCGATCATCCTGGTTTGCTTCCTGTTAGCACCGCACGGGTGTGATTTCACTCACTGGCGGTAAATGCAATCAGTGATTTGTTATCTTAATCATCCTCTTAAAACAAACAGATTAGTGCTGCTTATTACATTGAGTGCACAACAGGTATGCACCTACTCCCAATTAATGTCATTGGTAGACTTCGAGGACATCTCAGAGGAACTCTTGGTGGCCTGGTTAATAGAAATGAACTCTCTGTACTTGATAACTAGTTAAACCTTTATCTATTGATATGCATCACGCCATTTAATTAATAATGAAGATCCTATTTCAGCCATCTGATATACTCTTTGCCTTTACGAGGTTATATCAAAACACAGGACGGACGTCCTTATTTAATATATATATCTCTATTCAGTTCTGATTTCCTCACATTCGCAGTGTGTGAGAGCAGCTTTTGATGCTGCAGTCAAGGTTGTCATCAAGCCACCGCAGAAACACAAGAAAAAGCCAAGTCGAGGATGTCTTATGTCGGTGTTTCTAATCTTAAATTTCTGGGTGCTTCTTCTGATTGCCCAACATGTGAATTTTCTTGCATGACATTCTGTTTATGTTGAGAAAAATTTAAAGCGACTGTGCCTAAGGGCAATTATTGAGGTGCAAATTTATAGATATTATCCTGAAAGTAATGATTTTTAGTGCGTTTGAATTCTACAGCACTTGAGTAGTTTAGAAATGATATGGCACATTACATCTCTATGTTATCAACATTCGGCACTAAGAATTTCAGAGTTTATGCTTCTAAATTCACTCTGGTTAGGGATGGGAGTAGTTTCTTGTATTATATTAAATCAAATACAAGTTACCAGTTGCATTGCATGCTTTGCATCTGTTTGACATTTTTTTCAACGCCATATTACTTGCACAAAATTTATGGAGTATTTCTTTAGTCCAGAGCCTATGAGATCCCAGGAATGATCATTTTTTTTATTCAATTTGCGGAAACATCTTTGTGCCTCCCAAGTGAAACAGATTGCTTTCCTTCAAACCAAAAGCTTATGCTCCTACCGCTACCGCTATTCCCCTAGAGATTCCTTTTAGCCAGCCGAGTTTGCTTCTTATGGACTACTCAGCAATACTTCTCCCTCAAAGTCGCACTGTGGTTGTTTACATTTTCAATCTTACGGTCTACTTATAGTAGAAGAATCTACATTCGGCTGCTAATTGACTGTTGTATGGAGTTCAATATTCACGGACCTTGTACCGTGCATGAAAAAAAATGTGGTTCGATTTTTGTCCTCTTTTTCCTTTTCCGAGTAGAAATTCTCTCTGTCATGTTTTGTTTAGTCATTCTGTAATGCATAATTTCTTAAAATTATGGTACTTTTCAGTTCACCGTGAGAGCTTTCGCCATATTTGAACTACATCATCCAGGCCCCTAGTTAATCAATGCTTAAGCAATCTGTATTTTCTTTTTGCCCTTTTTGAGGTAGAAATTCATACTATATAAAGATTGAGTTGCTATCGGAAAGAGTGTCTAGATGAGCAAAGAAGTATCAAGGATAAAAGCAATAAAAATATTGTTAGAAAATGAGAAAAAAAGAGTTATAAATTCGTATTTATTAGATCATGTTTCTTTTTCTAATTTTCAATTTTCTTGCCTATCAATTTCAATTTTTCAGCCAATGAATGTTAATATTTTTCCCATTTTCCTATCAGTTTTATAGAATATATATGTGTATATTTTTTTCTACATTTTTTCATATTGTCAATTCTCATTTTACTAAGCAAAGACCAACCCCATGTGCTATCTTCTATTATCCTTATGTATTGGTCTGAGTTGAGATAGCATTTCTCATCTGCATGTCCATGGGGTTTTGTAAAATCCAAACATCTCAGAGATAAAGTGGCAGGTAGGAACTTATCAAACGAACAACACTGTTTCGCATACACCAGAAAGTCGGAAACACGTTGGAATAGCCTGGTCGTCAAATAAAACAAGACATGCATAGGAAAAAATTTAAAGCATAACGACTAATGTTTTGCTATTATCAAATTTTCTCTGCACTATTAATAACATTGATAGCAACAATATTGACACCAGCTAAAAATGTAGCATATCAACTACAATTAGAGTTCATCAAGTAAATAAACGATTTGAATACATCAACCACAGCAACTAACTCATGCCACATCAGATAAGGCTTCAGTATCAAAATTCGGTGACCACTTTAATTGGGAAAATAAGAAATAAAAAGGGAAGGGGATAAAAAAAGTCGAGAAAGATGTGCACTAAAAACCAGTATGAGCACCAATTTTTTATGCCTGGGCAACATAAGGGCGTGATTTCCAACAGTTGTGATATCTACAAGAGGAGAATGATCTTTATCCAGAACAGGTTCAGGGAACAAAGCTTTGAATACCTCAAACAGATTCTTTTACAGTACAGATGATACAGCATAAAGGTGGGGGTTGCAGACTATGAACATCAAATGGCTCACTTACCACCCATCCTCCGGAGAACACAGGTTAGAAGACATCTGGGGATTAGCCAATGACCGTCCTTGAAGAACTTAAAAAGAAATAAACACCAAATTGGTCAATGAAGAAATCCATAATTCTAATATCATTTCCTCCCTGTGCACCATCAAGAATGGGCACGGAAAAACAAAACGGGGAAAGAAAAAAATAAAGGCCTTGCTAAAAGGACCTTAGAAGGAACATAAATGACTCACAAGTTTTAATGGGCCACTAGACAGTGATATTCAATGATTCCTACTGCCATGAAGATTGCTTGTATCCATCCCATCCTCCCTCAGGTTCCTTCCTTTTCAAAACCCCACCTGATACCTGAAACATTCTCGCTTGCTCCTCTACCAGGGCTTGTGAACGGGCAACAGGCAGATGCCTAGATGCAAGAGGTGCTGTCTCATCTCTCCCTTCAATGTCTGGGCCTCTAGGCCCAGCATTTAAGTCTAGACCTTGCCTTCCCCACTTCTTTACACCCTCAGCACCACTATTATAGCTGCCGTCAGGAAGACTAACAACATAGGGCGGCCTTGGGTAATGGGACGGAATTGCACCTGCAGGTTCCAACAGTTGCGAATGGACTGGGGGGAAACAGAACCTCCCACCAGAAGAATCAGTATAAGTTGTTGAACTGCCAGAAATGCTGGTTGAAGGAAGAGGAAAAGTTGTTCCAAAGGGAAACACAGGATACTGG